TCACTGCTGCTGTGTCCCGGCTCCCTGCTCCTGCATCCCAGTTCCCCTGGTGCTGCATCCTCATTCCCCAGTGCTGCATCTCACATCCCTGGTGCTGCATCCTGGTTCCAGTGCTGCATCCTGGTTCCAGTGCTGCCTCCCAGCTCCTCGCTCCTGCATCCCGGTTCTCCGGGTGCCGCAGTCCAGCGGCCCCATCCCTGATCCCGCTCCATGCCCGCAGGACCGCCGGGGCCAGGAGCGGACGGAGCTCGAGGTGGCCTCATCCCGCGTGGAGCGGCTGCCCCTGATGGATGTGGCCGTGGCCGACTTCGGTGGCGCCAACCAGAAGTTCGGCTTCGAGCTGGGGCCCGTCTGCTTCCTTGGCTGAGGCCAGGGCTCCGGGAATGCCGAGCGGAGCCACCCCGGCACACTCAGGATTAGGCGCTGCCTGCGCCCCCCGCCCTGCCGCCCTCCTCCTTATTTATGCTGCTGGCTCCGGGGGGGACGCGCCGGGCACCTCAACTGCAGGGAATGGGTGTGAGCGGCGTCTCTCCCGGGATTCCAGGAGCCCGGAATTCCCTGTAGAAGCACTGGAGCTGCCTGCGTGGCGGCAGCCCCCGATGGGCACCAGGACCCCCGAGCCGCCCCCGTACCAGGGATGCTGCCGCCCGCGTGGAGCTGGGGCCGAGGATGCCCTGGGGTGCGCGGGGACCGGGTCTGTGCGTCACTGGGCCATAAAACGACKGTATCCGAACCTCCCGTCTCGCCTGGTGCTGCTCTGTGCCCATTCCGGTGCCGGGCTCCGAGGAAACCGGCAGCACCAGGTCCTGGGGGCTGCAAGGAGCAGCCTGCGGTTGCTGCAGGGGTTGCACACAGCTGCAGGTGCCCGCAGGAGCATTCGCAGCATCCCATTACAGCGGGAATCGCCGCTGGAATCTCCCGCCTCCAGGGACACCGGCCACGGGCTCTCGGCATCTTCCTCTCCTTGTCTTTGCATTAACTTGGCAGCAAAGTGGGGACCGTGAGAGGGGGCAGCGCAGGCGGGAGGTGAGGGTGACAGCAAGGCTGGGGGGCATGCACCGGGGGCTGTGACGGGATGGGATGGGGCTGGATTAGATGGGATGGGATTTGGCATCCCACAGAACCCCATTCCCCGCCACTGATCCTGGAAAACCAGCGATCTGCAGCGCCCGGTGAGGGGTCCGGGAGCCGGATCCCACCCGGGGTCCCRCCGAGCTGCCCGGACCCACTTGGTCCCTCCCAGCTCGGTGCAGCCCGCCCGGCTCGGCACCGTCCCTCCCGGCCCGGTTCGGTTCGGTTCGGCCCGCGCCACCCACCCTGGTTCCGCTCGGCTCCGTCTCTCCTGGCCGGCTCCGCTCGGTGCCGCCCGCCTGGACCCGGTGCCGCCCGCCCGGACCCGGTGCCACCCGCTCCGTCCCGCTGCCCGCGGCCCCTCTCAGTGCCACCCACCTGGTCTCGGTGCCGCCC